TTAAGAAACAAATACTTGAAAGTTCAGTTATCTCTCAATAGATGGAGAAAAATTAAGAAAAAAATACTTAGAAGTTCAGTTATCTCTCAATAGATTGAGAAAAAATTAAGAAAAAATACTTGTATGTTCAGTTATCTCTGAATAGATAGAGAAAAAATTAGAAAAAAATACTTGGAAATGTACCACCCGAGGTATGCGTACCACATGTTGGGAAACACTTCACTAGAGAACAAGCATTAGGAGGTCCTGTGTAGTGTCTTAACCCTTTTTTTTTTGGCTTGGTGGTTAAGGACACTCGACTCGCAATCTGTGACTTTGCAGAATCGAAACTGGATGCCGAGTATACTCGCTCTTTAAGCTGTGGGTGCTCCCGGTCGGTTGCCCTCACTCTGATTGGCAGTCCAAAATTAGGGACAGCATGACAGGTAGCTTTGCCATAAACAAAACAAACTGGATCCTTTAAAAATATTGTCATTTGGAGCAGTCTCCTTTCATAAATAAATACCATGGTATTTCATAGGAAGGAATTTAGAAAAGAGAAATTACAATAAGTTCCAAAAGTTAAGATGCTGTACACTTGATGCACTTATGTCTGGATAACATTTAATTTGCAGAGTAGAGCATGCATATTATGTCTACAGTGTTCCCATTGTAGGCTTATTTGTATGGTTACTGTAATGTTAATTTTTTCTTTTACAAGGATTAGCTAATAATACATGATTTGTTTTGTAAGGAAGTTATCATGTGACACTAAACAGAATAACTACATTACGAACTTGGTAAAAGACATGTCTTGATGGAAAACACAAAGAGATACACGCAATTCTTCATGAGTATTTGATTGGATGAAAAGGGAGTTGACCAAGAGGGGAGGGGTTAGACTCAACTCCAAAAGGGTTTTATTTTCATCAAGAAAAACACTGGTGGAGTTGGGTTGGAAGTTATAGTGCACATATAGCTTACAGTTTGCGCAAGCCCCAATATCTCTGTTTTTAGGAGTTGGCTGTGGATGCTCCCAGTCAGTTGCCTTCACTCTGATTGTGCCAGTTATTTGTAATTTTTAATTGTGTAAAAGAGGAATTCCATAAGGTTATAGATTCATTTCACAATCCAGTCACCTTATAATGTTGCTAAAACTAAATTGAAGAGTTACAAAACAAACATGCTACTAGTGTCTCAAAATGCTATCTGCAATGAAACAATTTTTACAAAATATCTCATAGACGTACCATTTTAACAAATATTTTTCTAGCAAATTTAAACTCAAGCTCCATAAGTTCTTAATTCTCAAAATTATTGACTTGTCTTTATATTCTTTACTATTAATAGGTTTGTTTTTATACTATTCACTATCAGTGAGATCCATATACTGCTTATGAGGATGAAGGTAAAAGTATGGATTTGGTAGACCTATATTTTAAAAATGCACTTGATAAGGTAATACGTAAAAGGCTTGATAAAAAAAGATTTCTATAGGTGTGAGAGATAAATTGGTTCATTGGATAGAAAAGTGGCTGGATAGAAGAAATTAAAGGGTTGTTATAAATAGTGTTCAGTCAAACTAGGATTGAAAATATGGATTTTGGTAGTTTAGGAGACATCTTCAGCTAAGACCATTATATTTTTCTAACAGGGTAGTTGACCTTTGGAATGGGTTGCTTTCAGGTGCATGGGAGGCAGTTAATTTAAAGGAGTTTAAGGAAAGGCTAGATAAATATTTGAATGATAAGGCCTGGCTTTGAGTTGTTATTCTTATAGTTTAGTTCAGTGGATGGGACAGCTTAGATGGACCAACAGATTCCTTGCTGTCCTTAAATGCTGTTTTATATGTATTAAGTAATAACGGTAGGGTTATTTTTCTACCTTTCACTTATGGTGAGATTGTTTATAACCATTCATTACAGCATCATACTAAATAATCTTATGTTACAAACTTCACTGTAAAGAATTGATCAAAAACACTGGGGGACCCCAGCAGACATTAATGAAATTAATTGCAATACTGATGGTATTTTTGTTTGGATTTTTCATGTGACTCGTATTTCATTAAGGACTATGTAATGAACATTCATAATGACACAAATTAATTTATAAAGCAGTGATTTACTCATTAAAAGCCAGTTACTTACTAGAGCAGAAGTAATTGTTAATAATATTTAATTACTCTAACAGGTTCTTTTGAGCATAAAAAGAACTAATTATTGAGTATTAGAGACTAATAGGAAAAAATCCTGAACAAATATAACACACAGTTTAGAACTATTGAGTCAAAAAATAAGAATTAAAAAACACAAACCAAGCATATGATACACTTTATATTTTGTAAAACATGATTGTTCTTATATACATTATTATAAGTTTCAAAAGTGTAGATCTCACACAATTAAAACAATTCTACTATCTAAAGTTTCTATGGTAGCTCCCATACAGTTTTTATGCAAAAAATATCTATCCTTATACAGTCAATATTTGTTTTTCTACCAGTTGAAAAAAGTATTACCTTGTAGTTTTCAGAACTGTTAAGTTCTCAAATTCTTAAGAACAGAAAAATACTGTTTTTTTTTATTTATAGGTGATCATATTCTTTTCTCAAATTGATCCATAAAAGTGCCTTCCAGAAATGTTTTAGAAAAATGTAATATATATATATACTTAATGTGTCTAAACAATGTGAAGCCAAATTCCCTAATGATTTAATGATTATGTTAAGCAGTATTAAAAGCTTAGTTTGAAAAGTGCAGTTTGTATTACAGCGTAATGTTTTACTTTATTTTATACAAATATGTTCAAACTTGACCATATGAGCTTCAGATAATGTATTTTTTATAAAGAGTAAGAAAATATCCTGGTCACTTAAGAAAAACTTTAATATAATGTACATGTATCTCACTGACATACAGAAACTAGAGAATTGTGCTAAATTAAATGTATTAAAATAAAGGATATACCTGTAATGCATATTTTTGGATATACAGCTAATATAAACACATGCAAATAGCTTGAATAGTATGAATTTACCAAATTGTCAATGATTATATCAATGAATTCTAATATATTTCAAACATTATAAATAATGTAGGTACAAACAGTTGCATCGTTAAGTACAAGATCCACATTTGGCACTGGAATAATATTATTTTCAGCATAAACATAGATAACACTAAAAACAATTTTGGCACCAGTCAAAAACTATTATTTTTGAAGTATAGATATGCATTTTTTTGTAATTTTGAAAAACATCTATATTCTTAATAGTCTGCATGTGGGACCTAATTTTAAGAATTATTTAGCAAAAAGAAAGTTGTAAAGTGTTTCCTATATATTTAACTTTTAAACAAACAAAAAATAACATATGCATGGTCACATAACTTCATAAAAAATAAGAAGTTTTATTTTGTAGAATTCTGTACTCAAGAAAAGTATCTAACTCTAACATACGGAAAAATGAATTCATCTTAAATATATGAAAAACATTATCTTTAATGAGAATAAAATTTCACTCTAACTCTGAGGAACTAAAATGCCCAATGCTCTCACAAAACACATATTAGTACGCCTATATGTAAACTTAATTCTAGAAATCATTATTTACATGTGAAAGCAACTGTGAAAAACAACAACAAAAAAAGGCATCAAGCAGGAATTAAAAACTTCTGGTAACTAACACTGAATATCTAACATTAAACAACTAAATTCTATATTTGTACAACACATGTTAAGATAATATGTTAAAAAATTTGTCAGATGAGTGGCTAAAGATTATTTTATATTAAAATAATAGACATATGTTTGTATCATTTTTCAAAACAGTACTCTCTTCTGACATAAAAAAAAGAACTTTTATGACACTCTTTTAATGAAATAAAGATTTAATTAAAAACAGATTTGTTGAATTGTTTGGTCAGGAGGATAATTTACTTTTTCATATCAGAGCTGTTGTATCCTGTATTAACTCTTTAGTGAGATGTCTTCAAGTAACCTTTTATCAAGCCTCATCTACATTTAGATACTTAATCTTGGTCTTTATACAGGAATGTATAATTAAACTGATTGAAGGAAATGCCTCCATTGTTCAAGACTTGAAAGAAGAGTTTAGTTCTTCTTAGAAAAATATGAAGCAAAGTTCCTAAATTCATCATATCTAGTTATCTCTAAGACTAATCACCATGGAATTTGTGAATTTAGGCTTGATGAATTGGCTACAAAAAAGCCTCACTATTTTTTCCATCATTAGTTCATGATTTGATCTTAACATTCTTGAAGAAACTTGTGATTATATTTTCTACCAAACTGACCACGGCTGAAGCTGGGTGATTGGGTTCAATTTCAGCAAACACATGGCACTGATTATCACTATGACTGGGTGGCTTCTTGGCAACAAAACCAAAGCAGCGCCTGCAGAATTTCATGAAATAATACTTAATTACATGAAGTAAAAGTGAAACATTTTTAGCTTTTCATACATTTTTTATCCTTCTTTTGGGCTAGTATTTATAAGAACATACTGCCTGGAATTATGCTGTATTTGCTGTCTTTCTGAAGACTTTGTCAAGTAACTAGTACAATATTTGTTAAAAAATTAGCATAAAACAACATTTAATCTCTGCTAAAAACTGCATCTTTTTTTTTTCCTCAAAGATTATGTGAGGTCTCTTTCAAATCCTTGGCTAGTATTAACATGTACTATAGAAACTTGAATTATATTTTTCAACATCAAGATTGTGCAAATGTAGGTAGCAAGGTCCATTCTAGAATGTCAGTCATATCATCATATCAGTAGTCTTTCTGATCTTTAACCTTCACTCCCCCCTTTCTGTAACATCAAATATAACAATAAACACCTCAAAACAGGTCATTTTGTTGGAAGATCCAGTCATGGTTTAACATCATTTTACTGCATTAAAAATTCTCAAAAAATAGTTACTTGCCCCAAATATTCGCTTACAGCTATACTTCAATTTACAAAAGGGATGCGTTCTTGGAGGACGTAACATATAATGAAAAAACAAATCAAAACTGTGTTTCCAAATAATATAAAGATGAAAAATAGAGGATGTGTTCCTGACTTAAAATGAAAGTAATAATACAGTATACCTTACTTAGGGAACACAGAAACACTAACTGTTGGCTTGAACTACTGTTATAGAAGTAAAGCTTCTTTAAAAAATGTAACATGTCTGTTTTTCTGCAATTCTTCCTCTGCAGTCTTTTGACAAAAACAAACAACAAAAAAGAAACTCCTTAAGCCAACCCAACTGTCTAACGTTAGAAGACAGTGACGATTTATGAGGTATATATTACTGTTTAAACTGTGTCAAATTAGTAGCAGTAATTTTCTTGTACAACAAAAAACTAATGAAGATAATAAATAACAGAATAATATAATACCTCTACTGTCCATGATAATATAATAAAGTTAAATATAATATAAAAAAAACACCAAGCTAAACATAATATGTGGTGTGTCTTAAAACTTTACCACTCTTACTTTAGCTATCCACTGTAGCAAACACATAGAGCTGGCTACAGGAAGTAACAAATAACATTACATCTTCTGTAAAAGCTGAAGAGGAAACACAATAAGCCTATAGAAAGTAGAAAGTTCAACAATAATAATAATATTTATGAAAGAAAGTTACAACACTAATTAATATGATAAAGAAAGTAATAATCAAAAACTAATGAAACATATGCCTAAAGGAACAATATATACTAGATATAAACCCTCTTCTGTAGCTAGGGAGAACAGTGAGAGCTTAAAAGGATGATAATGCTGGATATAAACCCTCTTATTTAGCTAGTGAAACAGTGATAGCTTAAAAGGATGATAAATTTTAGGTATAAACCCTTTAGCTAGTGAGACCAGTGAGGACTTAAAAGTATGATAAATGATAGACATTAACTAGTGAGAATGTTGAAAGCTTAAAGGAATGATAAATATAAACCCTCCTCTTGAGTTGATGAGAATGTTGAGAGCCTAAAAGGAATGATAAATGTTAAATATAAACCCTCCTCTTTAGTTGATGAGAATGTTGAAAGCCTAAAAGGAATGATAAATGTTAAATATAAACCCTCCTCTTTAGTTGATGAGAATGTTGAAAGCCTAAAAGGATTGTTAAATATAAACCCTCCTCTTTAGCTGATGAGAATGTTAAGAATGTAAAAGGAATGATAAATGTTAATTGTAAACCCTTCTCTTTAGTTGATGAGAATGTTGAGATCCTAAAGGGACAATAAATGCTAAATATAAATATTGTTAACAGCGAGGGTATACAACTGATAAAAAAATGCATTCTAACCTTTATAAGTAGATATGTAACAAAAGTAATGATAACATAAACTAACAGAAGGAAAAAACCAATGTGTTCAATACACTAAAGTGATTCACTGTTACAATAAACAATATCCCACGGAATTAAAAGCATAGACATGAAAGCTCTGAAAAGACTGTGATACTGGCCTACCTTTTATTTAAAATTAATTCAATCCAGATTTTCACAAATCTCAATAATATCTTGAATAATATATTCAGTATTTACAAAGTAATTTCCATGCTTCATGTACTTGAACTTATCTGCTTCATTACCTAGATTTTATGAATATAATTCTTTACACAGTACAATTATCACACACCAAATAGTAAATCTATTACACTATTGAATATTGTGATTAAGTAGTTTTCTATCTTAAGTTGCAGAAAGAAGCTAATCAATCATACTGTTCACTGCAATAGTTAATTAAAGCCCCAGGTGCAAGCCTACTGAAGTGATTAAACAATTAAGAACATATTCAACAAAACCTTTTCTTTAGTTCTTGACCAATACTGATGTAAAGGACACCGTAGAACATTTAAAACTGTAAAAGGGTTATATTCCTAAACATATCCCATATAATGCCTGTACTCACCAGTATTCATCTCAGCTTTGCACCTGGGGCTTTAAGAAATAAATAAATCTAACTGCAGATTACTATGGCTATAAGGTATTTAGGGTTTAAATTAAGGAAAATCTGCCTCACCACAGTCTACCTTTCTCATGGAGTTCAAACCGAGAGTAAATAAAATAAACTTATATTTCTGAGTACTATCATCATCCTGGAAATCCCCCATTATGTTACATAGTAAATCTACACACTTAATTATCTGGTTTAATGTAAATTTTTCAAATTGGCTTGAACTTCTTGAGATATCATCGAGGTTATGAACAAAAATAATGATAACAGTAAGGATGCCCAATTGATGAATCGATGGATTTTAACCATCATAAGATTTTATCATGTTACTCCTACTTAGTCTGGAATATAAAAATTACCTACCATATTTACTAAGTAATTTTTTTAGTTCTGATGAAAAATTTATTATAACTACCATGGAGTTTAGATTTAACAGAAAAAATTTACTTCTTGGCTCTATCACTGTGATGATGCTGACATTCAGAGTAAATTAAATACAATGCAAAAAATCAAAACCATGACAACTACAATTATTACAATAAGGTATATTGTCTCACTACAATAATCAGTGGTTTAGAGTATAGAGATGCTATTCCTTTTATCGTTACATGCCTAGATTTCAGTGATAGTTCTATTTCATTTAATTAATATCAGACCCTGTCCCATCACTTACCTAGAACTAAGTGGTATAACTCCTACAACATCCTCTTTTGTCCAACATCTGTTATCTGGGTCAAATCCACAATAGCTAATGTTACATACAGGATAATGACGTCGGAAAAACAACCTGATTGATGTGTATGGAAGAAAGTTACTGGTTATATACAGTTTTTTACACAAATTCAATACAGTTTTGATTATTTTATTTTGGGTTAAAGGAATCATTCTAAACAAAGCAACATATCTTGGTTATTAGCCTATTTATCTAAGTGGCTGATAGAATTAAAGGATGAAAAAAATCAATAAAGTGATATAAAAATGCAATATGACTGCACATTCTACAATTAACAAAACTGTGCAGAACTCAGGATATAGTACAATTTGGCTTGAGTTTTGGATCAGGATCCAAAATTTGTGATATTTAGTCAGCCCTGACTGGCTAGGAGGCCTATGGGCCAGTTAGAATAGCAAAATGAATAATCTAATCAGCCGTTGTTGGGCTGATTAGAATTTAAGCATTTTTCCTCTTTTTACCCTGTCATCAAATGTGCATTTCTTTTATTTTTTCATAAAACCATAGTTATATTTTCATATTGGGAAAGTATCTTCTTTACTTCAACCTCCCAAGTGGAGCAACTAGCTTTTGGGGGATCCCTGGCATACTTTTAAACATTATGTGAAATCCCTATGATGTCAGAAATAAAAGATCTTCCTGGAACATGTGAATGGTGGTATCAATCCAATTTAAGTGTGACGAACATTAATATTTCAACAGAAAAATACCTTACCTTTTGGTCAGTATTAAAATAGTAATCTCAAGTCAACTTATTTTTTGTATTTGTCTGGATTAATATAAAGATTATGTATATTCAAAGAATGATATAATCAAAAACTGATGTTTCCAATTAAAGAGTTTCATTTAATGTTACACATGTATAGACACACATATTTGCAACCTGTCTTTCATTAAAAAATCTTACAAGTAATAAAATGGAATTAACATATATACACACACATGGTCTTGGAGAGGACCAGTTAAATCTGATAAGGATTAGTTAGAAATTTTTTGAATTTCAGACCCTGTTTTGGACTCCTTGCTTACTGAAATGATGCTCCTCTATCTGGGTAATGTTGTATCCATAAAACTACTGGCTATCAGATAACAATATAAAAAAATACACTGCCTAGTCCTGTATGTGTACGTCCATAAGAGGCTGATAGGCCAGAAGGTTTCAACACATTAATAATACTTTTTATTATCAATTATATGCTGTTTTTCCTCTAAAATGCCATTTTAGGTTTATAAGTGAAATATTAACTTATCTATATGGAATTTACAAAAACAAAATTATTAAAAATACTTACTTTCGACTTGTGTCTGTTATAGTGATTCCTTTGTCAGACACTCTAAAATGCACAACGACTGAGGCTGCTGGACGTTTAGCTTCTAATAACTCTGAAACAACTATCTGAACAGCCTGGGGTCCAGTAAGAGTCTCTGTATCCATTGTGCTCAAGTACAGTACTTTACCACCATCTGATGAGATAGAAATTATTTTAAAAAGATATTATGAACAAAGGAGTTGTTTGAAGGCTCATAAAAATACAATGATTATATATGTTGAGAAAATTTATAGAATGTTTCTTAATGTAAAATATCATAAAGTTCAAATTATATTACAACTTACGAGGTTGTAAGATGGCAAGCCTACTGTACCCTGATTAGAATAACTTTGTAACATTATAACCACCATCTTCATGTTAACAGTCGGGTTAAGTTGCAAAATGTCACCTCTGTTGTACCCTGATTAGAATACTATACAACATTATAACCATTTTCTTTACATCTTAGATTACAGTCAGGTTAAGTTGCAAAACATCACCTCTGCTGTAGCTTATTTAGTTTAATTATATAACATAATGAACAAGTTTATTTATTAAACTACAGTCAGATAAGTTGCATTCAGGGGCATAGCTAGGTATATGTACATACAATCATGTGTAATATTCAAAATTCAAGATAGAAATTTTCATTTATATAATATCTTAAGTATGACTTATAAATTATTCTGTATGACAAATTTGAGTATGTCTGATTAACTTATTAAAAATTTCCCCTTACACAGAGTGGTATTTAATTATTACATTATTTGATCATTCTATGCTAGCTTATCTTTCATAGAATAAAATTATGAATGCACAAAATTTTATGATATAATTAATGCTAACTGTTTTCTTCCAATACAATTCAGAAATAAAAAAATGCCAGTGACCAAAATGTAAAATTAAACAATACATTATGTTATTTATATGGTTATATTTTTATAAATTATATATGCAACAAAGGCCATCAGAATGTGCCATTTCAAACTTAAATCTCAAAACTCAAATTTAAGTCTAACTATGGCCCTTGCATTACACCACTTCTGCCATAACCCGATTAGATATAGCTATGCACCATCATTACTATTTGTGGAACTTCAAAATAATAATTAATCATGTACATGACCATTATACATAAGATTTAAACAATAATTAGCTAGTCAGTCATAGGGTTTAAATAAAATTTCTGTTTACATAAGCCCACTGATTTCTTAAATAAGTAAAAATAGTGTGTAGACTAAATTTAACTCTGAATGTGATCAGAGTACTTGAAATTATTTCAAGTATGCATTTATATGTAAAGTGATTAATTCATACATGTTCATTCAGTAGCTCTCACTTTTTAGATATAAAAGTAAAAATTAAATTCATTTGTGTTAATGTGCATTTAATAATATACAGTTTGCAGAGTTTAGGTGTTATTTTCTGCAATTGGCTGGAACTTGTTTAACACAGAAAATAGTTTGTAAATCTACATTTTTTACTATTTTGGTTAATCACACATATGAGATTTCTTACCTAGTTTTCTCCCTTGATTAAATTCACAGTTGGAAGTAGTTTCAGATATTGGCTCTTTTGAGAAAGAAAACGGTAATAATTTATCCTGCTTTTAAAAATTGATTTTTATCGTAAAAACATTTCTGTATGAAAAGTAATGTAACACACATATAGAAACCTTTTTTATTAACATCATGAAATGTATATCTCTGATTTAGACCAGAACTTCCTTTCTACAACACTATAAATAGTGTTTTAAGAGTTTTCATTTACTTAATAAACACGCAATTCTTTTAAAATTTATATCAGTTTCTTTAATTAAGTTAATTGCTAGGGTGGGAATACTTGGTTAGAAATGTATGTGAATAAATCTTTTTAGAGTCACACAGGAAAAATACTTACACCTTTCACACAGATTGCACTCAATATATAACATAAATATAGGTTAATTTTGCTTTCGAGGAGTGTCTGGAAACTTGCAAACTATTTGACTTGTGAGCTTCCATGAACTTCAAATCATTGTCTGTTATCTTGTTCATGGTACCAGAAGGTATGTCTAGCTTTATGACTCGCTATTTCTGGTTATAGGCCTCTTGTTTTGTAACCATAGCTTTCACGCTGTATATTAAAATGTTGCATTGGATAGTTGCTGTCTTAAATAATCTTCTGTGCAAGTTTTCCTACTTTCATGGAGAATACTGGAGGCTCTCTTCTTTAAAATGTTGTGACTTTTGGCTCTAACTTATTTAACAATCTCACTTTATGAACTTCCTTTCTCTGAACAGGCTTTGACATATTTCTCCAACTATAAGTCTATCTGTGGCATCACTGCATAGTATAATGATTGGGAAATTACCATGAACCAAATATATAAGTGCTTAACATGTTACCTATGACATCACTGCATTAGTATATACAAATCATTCTTGTAAAGTGCATGTACATGTTAATCTAGCTACCATGCTTGTTTAGAGATTTTGCAGTGAAATGCAGCTTATTATGTAATATTGTTTTCATATTTTATAGATTCCCATCCTGTCATTTAAAACTACATATAAAATTTACAATAAATATTTGAAATTGTATGTAAACTTAGTTCTCTATCTTTCAAACAACTGAAACTTATTTTGTCAAGTTATACAGTCTATCATCTAGTATTTATGAACAAAAGGTATATATATATATATATATATATATTATTTATTTAAACAATAAACAAACCAAAATCAAGCAACAGAAGAAAAAAACTACTTCTAAATTGTTGATAATAACGCAGGCCTGC